TAGGCAAGTGAGATTGTATACTTATCGATTTGGTCGCTCCACCCACAGAGCCATCACCCATTCACCTAATCGCCTGAATCATGATCTCTGAACAATACCTTCGAGTGAACATAGATTTTTATGATTTCGGTTGACTACCTAGGACTTCGTATCTCAAATGAAGACCCACCACCAGGAAATTTCATTCGTTTTGCAAGGAGTTTTTTGTGACGTGGATGGAAGAAATGAAGGGATCTCATTAAGATTTATTCAGTTATCTATTTTGTGTTAATCCGTAAAGGCGACATTTGAAAGGATCAAAGCCGTGAGCAGTATAGAGCTTCTACAACGTTTAAAGAAATCGTGCACGGCTCACTGCTCGAAAGTGCGCGACAAAGGAATTAGGATTTTGCTGGGTACCCCCCAGGAGGCCCGTCGCGCGGCAAGAAGGCAAAGTCAGCGGACGAGTCGCGCGCGTACTATAGGGATTTCGCGTCAAGTTAAATAGAGTGTCCCATTGCACGTCCTACATCGCACATCACGCGCTGCAACTCGTCCGCCGACTCTGCCTTCTTGCCGCGCGACGGGCCTCCTGGGGGTACCCGTCTTTGCTATTTTTGCTGGGACCGGCTGCAGCTGTGTTCGAAACACAGTGATTTGCGTATCGAAATGTCTGCTTCCCGCTCGCCACTATGCTCTCTCGCCTGTCCCTCTCCTTTGCGCCCAATGTTGTAGCACTTCCCAACCCATAGGCTCTCAATTCCAGTGTTTTCGGTGGTTTAGTTTACTAATTTTTCACCGCAACCTTATACCTTTATCTCTATCACATTGTAATAGGAAAGAAACGTGGAAAACAAGGGCAGGCCTGGTTTACTAGCTACCTATTAATCTGATAAGAAGGTCTATTTCCTCACCATCACTTTTACTTTCGAGCGAATAGTAACATATTTGATCATGTGAAGTGCCCTTAAATTAGCTGCTTGCGCCTGCTCGGATGAAGTGTTCGAATTTATACTTTCCCCAACTACTATTTCAAATCAAGGTTCGCACATCTGATGGGAAACGCCGCATCCAACCGATTTTCCTAGGATCGACTGTCGATGATGAACCGGCTCCGGCGCCTCCCCCACCACCTGTGCAGGCGAAGGCTCAGTGAGTTGCAGTTTATCTCAACTTTTTCGAGTTATAGTGGACTCATGGGTCGACATGTAAAGGCATTGTAACCGCTGATGCCGATGTTTCCCAGTTCTGAACTCCTTTTGAAACGGGAATTTTTAGAGCTTCGAATCAAGCCGACGAACCAATGCCGTCGGATTCTGATGACGCTGGCACACGGTACGTCCGAGCACGTTTTTCGATGACTTTGGGCTACATATACAAATATGTTCGCCCTGCTATTGTGCGCCTGCACTTCAAAATGAGTTCCTGTTCCGCCTGAGCATTGCCGGAATTCATATTTCCACACTTTCAAATTAGGCCTATTTTAACAATACAGCCCGCTCCACTGACGTATTTTTTCGTACTGAGTCATACTTTTGCGTGTAGCCACACTTAGCTGTTCTGAGAACACGCGAAAAGGAATGTTCACGAGACGGTCAGGAGATTCGAAGATTCGACTGAAAGGATTATTTCGCAAATCGATTCAATTGACTCCACTCAATGAAGAACGTTCCGGAAATTAGACGATTTCTCGGCCGAGTCCTCACCCCCGTCCTGCCACTCTTTTCCTACGAGTCTCGAGACCGAAATCTTTAAAACATGTATATGGACACGGGGTGAGCTCCGGAAGAGCCATCTCACGAGGAGTTACGGCTACAGCGATGCTATATCCCAGGTCGTTGTAGGCCAAAGTGTCTGTATATAGGAGTTGCGGTGTGGGTGGTTTATAGCATGATCAAAAGAGGAGAAGGTCTAAAGTGTCCGTAAAATTTTCAACGCTTTCCCTTTGAAAGAATTAGCTGCATCTTGCCAGAAATACCCTATACCACCCACAATCACTTAATGCGTCCCCTCTTCCGCTCTTGTGCCGCATCTCGATACTCCTGGTACACATAAGCAATTCCGTCTGCGATGTTGTGAAATCTGGTTTCCTTTTTGCCATGAAAAAAGACAGATACCAAAGACTGTTCTCACATCACCATTCAAATGCTTAAAAGAACCTAGCTCGAGCTGTGCCATCTGTGCCATCGATAGTTCACGGCAAAAGCTCGAACTAGGTTTCACAAGTCCTAGGGATAAGTCCTCTGCCTTTCGTTGTAAAGGCCACATCGCAGTTGAGCGCTACTAATACGATTCTGGATTGGAAGTGGAATGCGTGGCGCATCCAAGGATTGACCAATACCGCTCCACGCTCAATCCTTTGAGCTTTAGGGATAAGTCACCTTCAAAATCACTGGCTCGACTGGCGTCGACTGACGACTCGATGGTGGAAAGCACGGATGATGATGTGGATTCATCGGATGTTGATGCTGGAGCGAAAGCAGACAAAGAAGCAGCTAACCTGGAAGAGCTAAGCAAGAGGACGAAAATGATGATGGCAGATTTCAAGGTGAGCCGTAATTGTGGATACTTGACTATTTCGAATCTGACGATTTGCATGGTTCATTTCAGAAACCCATTCTTCGTCCGGTGGATTCTATACGAATCGATGTGACGCAAGCAAATGCTGTTTTGGAAGTACCAGAACAACGAGCGACAATCAGTGAAGGAGTACAGGGGGTTAGTTTGGTAAAGTATCTCCGACTTATGTGAAGTCACTGGTGGTATCTCATGCGTGACTTATGGGACGATTTTTTTGTCTTTGGAGTGCTTGAAGACCTTTTGACACCTTTCTGGCGTTGTTTATGAAGTTTGTTCTCACTGGCCTTATGAGGTTGGCGCTGAGCTGTTTGTTTTACTTTTTATTCCAATTTTTAGGTTTTGGGAGACACTATTGAAGTAGACAACGACTGGGTGATGGGCGGTGTGCGAGCTAGCCATGTTTCCTACCTTCATTCCCGCGCAACAGTCTGGAGTGTCGAAATCGCCCCCACTGTTGCTGTGGTCGTGGCAAATCGGTAAGATTGAAGTTATCATTTTGAAGCCTCCTTTGGGAAAGGGGGGGTACGGTAGGGTGTTTGGGAAGGCGAAGGTTAGGCGGTTAGCAGCTTATCGTTAGTTCCGTATCGTACCACCGAGTTTTGGTGAACTACAGGAACTGGCAGGGAACTTCCAGATCACGAGCTTAACATCCACTGCGCAGGCCTTGATGACTTTCATACTGAATATCGCTGGAATGACCATTTTTAATTATTTTAACAGGTTTTGGACGATTCTCGGATGCTACGATCGCAGTATTTTCGTGTACTCAAGCACAAATGGCAAAGTACATTTTCGTAATCAGCTCGATTCGGCTCCAGTTCGTATGGGAATCAATGGCCACAAGATGTTTGTGCT